GAGGAGACCAGAACTCATTTTTTGTGTGGGTACCTGTTTGGCAGTCTAGTGAAGACTGTAGATCCCTTCTCAGAATGATGTTTTAAAATACATAAAACTTCAAAAAATGTGTAAAATAAAATGTATAGGATTACAAAAGAAACTAATAATGTGGAAATAATTATCAATTTTTTTAAATTTCAAGGCTACCAGATTAATAATTTTTGAATTATTAATTAATTGCATTATTTATTAATAAATTTATTATTAATAGCTTATTAGAGTGCAGAATCATAGATTTGCAGGTGAAAGAAACCTTGGAGTCATTATCTTTACCCCTAAACCTCCCTCACTACCTTCCCTATTACTATAAAGGGCACCACCATCCTCCCAGTGCCTCAGGCTCACAACCTAGAAGTCATCTTGGATCCCTCGCTATCTCTCATCCCACCACATCCAAGCTGTTGCTAAGGATTGTTGATTTCACCTTTCTAACATCTCTGTAATAAATGCCCTGCTCTCCTCTGACACTATCATCCCTCCAGTGCAGGCCCTCATCACCTCATGCATGGATTGTTGCCATAACCTGCTGGTGGGGCTGCCTGCCTCAAGTCTCTCCCCACTTCAATCTGCCTCCATTCAGCCACTAAAGTAAATTTCCTAAGACACAAGTCTGATCATGTCACTTCCCTACTCAGTAAACCCCAGTGATCTCCTATTGACTCTGGGATCAAATACTAAATACTCTGGCAATCAAAGCCCTTCATAACCTAGCCTACTGCTACCTTTCCAATCATCTTACATCTCTCTCCCTGCCATGTACTTTTTTAATCCAGTGACACTGACCTGCTGGCTGTTTCACAAACAAAACATCCTGTCTCTCTGCTCTGGGCATTTTCTTTGGCTTTCTCCCATACCTGGAATGCTCTCCCTCCTCCACTCAACTACTGACCTCCCTGGTTTCCTTGAAGTCCCAACAGGAGACTTCCCCAACAGAGGACTCCTCTCACATTCCAGTGCCTTCCTTCAGTTAATTATTTCCTATTTATCCCATATATAGCTTGCTTTGTAAATATTTGATTGCATCTCTTCCCCCATCAGATTGTAAGTTCCTTAAAGGTAGAAATTGTCTTTTGCCTCTTTTTATATCTGGGCTCTTAGCATAATGCCTGGCATAAAGTAGATGCTTGATAAATGTTGATTCATATCTAGTCCAAACTCTTCTGACAAACTTAGTAAGTAGCAGAGCTTTTAGCCCATGTCCTCTAACTTAGAATCCAGTCCTCTTTCTACTACTTTCAGGAAGCTAGGTAGCACAGTGGATAGACCACCAAGTCTGGAGTCAGGAAGACCCACTTAGTTCAAATCTGACCTTAGACACTAGCTGTGTGACTGCAGGTAAGTCACTTAACCCTGTTTGCCTCAGTTTCCTCATCCATGAAATGAACTAGAGAAAGAAATGGCAAACTACTCCAGTATCTTAAAAAAAAAATAAAACAAAACCCATATGGGGTCAGGAAGAGCTGGGCATGACTGAACTAAAATCACGTCGTAGATCATATGATTTAGAGTTGGAAGAAACCTTTAAGATCTAGTCCAACCCACTCATTGAGATCCAGAAAGTTAAGATGCCAAAGTGAGCCACCCATAGACGGGGCTAAGATTTGAAACAAGGTCATATGTAGCTAAGTTCTTAACTGAAAATAGGGGAGGAGGATTGAAGGGAGAGAGAGGGGAGAGGAAAGATAGATAATGAAATGGTTTGGGACTGCATTTTAAAATAGTCTGTCTAGGTTCTTTTCTTTAAATGATTGATTCTTGGCTCTCATTTTCAAAGGTGTATATATGCAAAAATATCAGTAATTTGAAACCAACTAATTTTAGAATTTGTAGTTATTAGAACAAGGGCTTAGGCTTCATCTTATCTAGACACTATTTTAAAGGAGTTTTCTAAGCAGTAAATAGTAAAAACAAGATTTTAAGAGGGAATTTTTAACTCACTTGTTCTTTGTCAGTCATTTTCAGTCATGCCTGACTCTTCATGACCTCATTTGAGGTTTTCTTGGCAGATACTAGAGTGGTTCACCATTTCCTTCTCCAGCTCATTTTACAGATGGAGAAACCAAGGCAAGCAGGGTTAAATGACTTGCCCAGGGTTACACAGCAAGTAAGTGTCTGAGACAGTATTTGAACTTAGGAGGATGTGTCTTCCTGACTCTAGGCCAAGTACTCTATCCAGGTGGTATCCACTGTAAGGCAAACAGGGTTAAATGACTTGCCCAGGGTTACACGGCAAGTAAGTATCTCAGACAGTATTTGAACTTAGGAGGATGCGTCTTCCTGACTCTAGGCCAAGTACTCTATCCAAGTGGTATCCACTGTACCACCTAGCTGCCCTTAACATACTTAAAGTGGCCAACTATCTTCACGCTGACAATTGATAAGCTAATTACAAATCATTCTTATCACTAAAACAAATCCCAAAGGACCTCTAGGACAATAGAGTGTTTGCCTAGATCCTCCAGTTGTGTATACTTGAAAGAAACAGACTCCCCTTCCCATTACCTACACATTATCACTGTGAATCTAAATTTTCCTCCAGGTTTTACTTTTATCACTGGAGTTCTATCTTGGTTTTGTTTGGTGTAGGATATAGAAGACACCTAGTAATGGTCACCTGATAAATAAAGAAATGCAATGTTGTTTTTAAGAATGGAAGGTTGTAAGCAGGGTTTATGGTTTTAGAAATATGTGTGTAAGCATACCTGCCAGTACCTTCCTCCCCTCCTCCTTTCTTCTCTTCCCCCACCTGCCTCCCCAGCTTTTCATCTATCTTTTATGTGTCCTTTTCCCTGGAATGTAAGCTTCTTGAAAGTAAAGACTATATTTTTGCTTGAATTTGTATTCCCAACATATAGTCCAATAGCACATAATAAGTGCTTAATTAATGTTCTTTCTACCTATTTAGTTAGCTGACTAGCCGATTTCTAAGATTTAAAGAAAATTTACAAGACAAAGAGTTACTCCCTACTACATAGTCAAAAAATTTGAACAAATAATTCTCAAAAAGATCACAAACTATTAACAGGACTATAAAAAATTATTCCAGGTAACTAATGAGAATGGCAAGTCAAAATAACAGAAGTTTCACCTCACATCAGTAAATTGTCAGAGGACAAAATATGGCAATAATCGATGTTGGAGGGACTGCAAATAGGCAAACTAATACATTATTGATGGAGCTGTAAAGTGGTCTATCCACTTTGCAAAGTAACTTTTGATTATCGGTCAATAAGTTATTATTGAGCATTAACTATGCACTGATAATACAAAAGTTTAAAAAGAAATTGAAACAATTCTTGCTCTCTAGGAGTTATATTCTAAGATAAGAATATGATTAAAATGTCCATACTCTTAAACCCAGAGATCCTCCTGCTAGGCTCATGTGCCAAGGAGGTCAGAGACAGAAAGAAAGGTCTCCAGAATATTCATGGCCAAACTTTATGGTAGCAAAAAACTGGAAACAGATGTCCATGAATTAGGGAATGGTTAAACAAATGAGTAAGGATGAATAGTCAAGATTCAGGGAAGCATGGGAAGACTTATATGAACTGACGGAGAATGACATACCCAGAACCAGGAAAAACAATATGCACAATGCCTATTATAATATAAATGGAAAGATTAAAAGCTAAGATAGACATTCTGTAATTATAATGACTAAGTCATCCTTGAATAAGAAATGAGATATATACCTCCCTCCTTTACAGAGGTGAAGAACTATTGGTTCTGCAAAATTCTGGAAAGCAATTTGTAATTGTCAATCATTGAACAAACATTTAATAAGTACCTACTATGATCTAGCCACTGAGAATACAATTACCCCTTTCACATCTCAGCTTTCCCCTTTGTTGTTTAATATATTGCAAGTTGGCATAAGAAATTAAATGAGAATTTGGGGGGAGTTTTGCAGAAGCCACAGATGTTACACAGAAGAGCAGCAGACAACACAGAAAAAGTTTAGAAACTCAGAAGTGCATAAAACATATGTATAGTATTGTGTAATAGTAACATTTTATCTTTTAATATCACAATGATTCAGACTTCTTCTGTGGTATGAAGAGAGGACCAAAAAATTTTACATGGATTTTCTACATCATGGGGATGCCATCCCCCTAACCCCCACAATGTAGAAGGGAGAACTCTACAAAGGAAAAAAAAGGGAAGTGATCTCAGGTCTCAAGAAGCTTTTATATTCTGTGCTAAGAATGCAATTAAAATGTTAGAGATTTTATTCTTGGCTTATGGCCTGGTTAATTCGCTGAATTGCTTTTTTCCCCATTTTGGGTGCAAGGATGGTTCACTGGATAGGGATAAAGGAAGGAGTAATACATTTGGAAATTAAGATGATTATAATTACAAACTGTCAATAAAAAATTTTAAATAGACATACCAATTTTATTAGCTTATAGTCCTTTTATTCATAAGACAAATTGCAAAGTTTGGACTTCTTTTGAGGATAGAAAAAGCATATGATGGTGATTAATGTATTATTTTCTCATAGCTGCCTTTCCCTGATAGGTTATTACAACATATGTGTGTTTAGGTAAGATTTAGCAAAACTTGCCTCACATGTGGATACACAGAGCTTTTCCCCAACTTATTAAGTGACATTGGTTTAAAATATTTTAATCTAAGTCGGCGTGAATATTTCACTTTCCCTTGGTTTATGTCTTCATAGCACTTGTAACACAGGGGACACAAATCAAGTGCTAACTTCATTTAAATGTTTTAATAATCTATCCCTACATTATGGCTAAAAGGTTGTTTTCCTTTTGTGTATATGTTAGCCTTTATATCTAGCTTGCTTCCATCATCTAAGAGGATCCTAAAAGGATTAGTCAGAAAAGGCTGAAACTGAGTGATGGTAAAGCCTGGCCGTTGTCATGCTCTTTTGATTAAATACAAATACTATTCCTGGGTATTCATTTCACATTGCTATTTTTTTTCCTCTTTTCTAGTGGGATCTTGTGTGTGACTCTGCCTGGAAGGTCCATATTGCTAAGTTTTCCTTACTGGTTGGTCTAATCTTTGGCTATCTAATAACCGGATGTATTGCTGACTTGTAAGTATCAAGCCTATCTGGAGAAAACTTGTCAATGCTCTTTCATTGTTGTTAAATCTTTTCTGTACAGTGTTTTAACTCTCAAAGCAAAATGATTGGATCAGTTATCTGGGTGATTCAGAACAAAAAGTATTGACTAAAGCAGTAGTTCTCAAACTTTTTGGTCTCAGGGCCCATTTGTACTCTTAAAAATTATTGAGGACCCTTCCTCCAAAGAATTTTAGTTAGTGTAGGCCACTAGTGAAGGCCACATGTGGCCTTCTAGGTCCTTGGGTGTGGCCTTTTGACTGAGTCCAAGTGTTATAGAACAAATCCTTTTATTAAGGGGATTTGTTCTGTGAAGTTTGGATTCAAAGGACCACACTTGAGGATCTAGAGGGCCACGTGTGGCCTCGAAGCTGCGGGTTCCCCACCTGGTATAGGCTAACTCTATTGCTATTTAGAATTCAATATCAATTAGTAGAAATAAAAGCATCCTAGTATTTTTAAGAAAATAATTTTGACCTAATGGATGCCCAGGTCTATAGGTCTGGTGGACCCCTAGGAGTCTCCAAACCATACTTTGAGAACTATCAAACTAAAGTTTGTAAAGTATGTAATGCAAACCATGTTGAAGTGAAACTTGAAGTACGTGGATTTTCATTTTCTTAAGCACAGCTTCAGTGTAACTCCTTCCTGCCCTATACCTCTGCACACCCTAGTTTCCATCATCAGTATATTGATAACAATATTCAGTACACCTTTGTTTTTTGAGTGCCTTGACTCTGCCTGCCGCTATGCTAAGAAGGATGCAAATGAAGCCTGAAAAATGTTTTCTGCCATCCATCTCCTGCCTAGGTGGATGAGACAAAACTGCTCACTACACACCACTGCCCGAGGTTGCACAACTAGCTAGGTACAATGAGAGATAGCAGATTGATAAATGCCCAAAGGAATCGTACGCACAGTATTGTTATAAAGCTTAACGGTATCTGTCATTGTGGGGTTGAGAAATTCAGGAGGTCAGTGTCGGACTTGGGTTCTCCTTAGAAAGATGGATGACATTTGTATAGGAAGAGGGGAAGGATAATAAGGGACATGGATATAGCCAAACAAAGGTTTGGGTGTGGGGAATGAGAACAACTTAATGCTGATAGATTTGCAAAATGATTTGATCTTCACAATAATTTTATCCTCATTTTACAAATGAGTGAAATGGAGTGCACTGGGACTCAAGGAGATTAAGTGACTTACCCATGGTCACATAGCTTAGCAAGTATTAAATCTGCCTGACTCTAAGACTAGCCACCTTACCCACTAGAATACCAAGCTATGCTAGGATTAGTGAAGAGAACAGCCTGGCTAGAATAGAGGCTTCCTGTAGAGTAGTAGGGGCTGTTGGGTGGCGCCGTACTGCACAGAGCTCAGAGTCTGGAGTCTCATATTCCTGAGTTCAAATGTGACCTCGGACACTTAACTAGCTGTGTGACCCTGGGCGAGTCACTTAACCCTGTTTACCTCCATGTCCTCATCTGTAAAATGAGTTGGAAAAGGAAATGGCAAACCGCTTCAGTGTTTTTGCCAAGAAAGCACCAAGCAAGGTTACAAAGGGTTGGACATGACTGAACCACAAGTAGGAGATCAAGTTTGTTGGTTTGGTGAGGTGGAGGATAGATCCATTACAGCTTAGACAAGTCTTGATTACTGAGGCTGACAAATTTAGAGTTTATCCTGTAGGCACTGGAGAGCTATTCAAGTTTTCTGAGGCAGGAAGTAACTGCATTTTCATTACTTAGCATTTTTGTGATGGCTTTTCAGAATGTCTAGGTTAGCCAAGTAAAAACACATGGTTCTATTTTATTTTAAGGTTTCTTTCTAAAACAAACCTTGGATTAATAGAGACTTCTTAGTCGTGTTGAAAATAATGGGGTAACACTCCCTGAGTGCTACTTGTTAAAAACAAAAGACCAACTCAGTGAGAAATCAGGAGAGCTTGGGGCAGTGCCCTGGGGCATGCCAAGGGTGGTCAGTGATACCAACAGGATTTTTTACACATCTTTTGAGGTGCAGAAGTTTCTGATCAAAACTGTGTATGTGTAGGGGCAGCTAGGTGGTGCAGTGGATAGAGCTCTAGCCTTGGGAGTCAGGGGCACCTGAGTTCAAATGTGACCTCAGACACTTGACACTTAGTAGCTGTGTGACCCTGGGCAAGTCACTTAACCCTGATTGCCTCACCAGAAAAAAAAAAAACTGTGTATGTTTGGAAATTCCTTCCTCTGTTAATAATATTTCTTGTTTGTTTTTAATTTCTTTAGTCATCTGCTTGTAAATATGATTTTTTAAAAACACATTCCCAATGCCTATTATAACAAAGAGGCTTTAGTGTTTTCTCTGTACTTGGGTATGCCTGTCCTGTTCTTGGCTGCTTTGCCTAATCACCTGTGTTAGAAGAGACACAAAGAATGACTTCAATTATCTAAAGCAGGAGTTTTTAATCTTTTTTTTGTATCATGGACCCCTTTGGCTGTCTAGTGAAGACTATGGACCCCTTCTAGAATTATGTTTTTAAATGCAAAAAATATATAGGATTACAACAGAAACCAATCATGTTGAAATATAGTTATCAAAATATTTTTTTTCAAAAGTTCACAGACTTCAGGTTAAGAACCTCTATTCTAAAGGGATAGCTACTCTTATTCTCTTAATTATTCATATGCTTGTTAATAACCCATAAAGAAAGGGGTTAGGAGGATGGGAAGTCATGCTGAAAACGACATAAGGCACCCTGCTTTCTAGAAATACTTGGAAGAGACTTTGTTTTCACTTTGTGCTTGTTCCCAAGTGAAAAAAAAAAGAAATGTTTGCACTGGGAAAGAAAAATATCAATTAAAGATGTGGAATTTTATTATGGAGTTGTTCTGAGAGCAACTCACAACTAGTTTCATAGCACTTTCCTCCCAATGACCCTGTGAGGTAGGTAATTTCAACATTAGTATTTTCATTTTATATGCAATGTTTAATAGGTTCAGTGAGACTATTTGCAACCTGCCCAGGTTCACACAGCTAGTAAGTTTGAAACCTGAGTCTTCATGTTCTATGTCTGTACCATGCTGTCTGATTCATGTCTTGCCCCTGACATTTGTGTTTTGGACTTTTCCCCACATGTAAAACATAAACTTGTTTTGTCTTTATGCCTTCAGGGCAGAGGTTCTCATTAACCTTTTGGTGTCCTAGACCAGTTTGGCAGTCTGGGACAGTCCCTTCTCTGAATGATATTTAATAAATAAAGAAATGGATGAATACATAGGAATACAAAGGTAACTAATTTTATTGAAATACAGTTATAAAATTTTTTTTTAAGTTTATGGACCCCCTAGATGTAGAACCCTTGCATTAGGGTCTCAAACTACGATTTGGACATTATTTACCCTCAATAAATGTTTGTTGGGTTCAACTGGATGAGATGTTTTCATGTGATACAATGCTGTTACACTCCAAGGAAAATCAAAGGACAAATACACCTGTCTTCCCTTTGCAAGACAGATCAAAAGTCTGATAATGTCATTTAAATCTCTTTGTGTCAACCTCTTCTGCTTTAAGAAAATCTATGTCTATCTGCTTCAGGTGGCAAAATGTGAGGGGGTAGATGAGAAGAGCTTGTTTGCATTCTGACTTTCTGAGAAACTGGTGTCACCTTTTGCTAGTGGAGTTGGGATGCTGTGTTTTTGAGCCCAGCCCTCCACGATTTTATTCCCAGTCTGAACACTGCTTGACTAAAAAGAACAGTGTATGAAGAGAAAAGAAAAACCACAGATGTCCCTGCTGCTAAAATGTGCCAAGAACCCTTGTTTGGTTTTTGTGGCTATTTGGAAAGTAGACTGAAGAGTGTGTGTCTATGAGGAAGAGGCCCCTGTTACAAGCTTGGCTTTCGGAGGCCATTGTGCATCCAAAGAGCAAGCTTTTTTCAATGTTCATTTTTGGACCAAATCTCTCTAATAATAATAGTTCACATTGCAGAATATTTTACATACATTATTTCATTTGATCCTTTCAACAACCTTGTGAGATAGACATTATCATTATCTCCATTTTAGAGATGAGGAAATAAGCTCTGAGAAGTTAGTGATTTGCCTAGTGTCACACAGATCATAAGTCTTCCTAAACCCAAGACAAGTGCTCTATTCACTATACCTCACTGTATACTGCTGTATAGCAATGTACAAAATAATGATGACATTTACTTATTTATTAAATGGTAGTATTTCATGGAAGAATTCAATGTACTTGACAATGTATTTTTAAAAAACCAAATACTTCTTAATGATCAGAACAATGTGGGGATTATAATTGCCCAATCTGTGAGAAAAACCACTGAGGCAGAGCTCTAAGCCAATGCTACTTTATTAAAGGGGCCATGGTCCCTTCTAATAAAGTGGACCTCAGATTTTCCTCCTCATGATTTGAGATGCTCCTGGTCCCCAGAACCTTGCTTTTATAGGATTTGATACCCAAATATGCAAAAGAGGCATGGTAAAATACAGAATCTCATTGATTGATAGACCTTGCTCTTGAGGGCCAAAAATAACATATCAGCTGGGGGGGGGTGTTCATAGATTGGGTAAAGCATAGGGTATCTCCACTGAAAGTGGTCATAAGATGCTCATATTGAACAAAAGAGAATGGTGTGGAGTTACCAAAATAGTTAGGGGACTTTCCAAAGAATCAAGGCATGCTAGGTTTGAACATGGAATTTGAGTAAAACATAATGGAGATGCCTTTGTCAGCATTCTTGCAGTTGTGGAAGTGTGCTTCATAACTGGTAAACAAGTAGTGAACATTACATTAAAGTTTGAGGCCTACTATAAGAACCTATTGTATCTAATTATCCCTATATGATTTGTGCAAAATATCAAACTGATTAATACTGATTGGAATAGAGTAAGGGTCCAAATGAATCATTTCTCGCAACAGCTCAAACTGTATTGTGATGGGCATGAGAGAATAGAAAAACAAGTGTGAAAAACAAGGCAAGCAGCAGCATAGTAAGCACAGAAATATACCTGGGGTACTTGATTTGTTTCCTCTTGTGGACAAAGTGTTTGCTACTTCCTCACGTCAGGATCACATACTCTCAGGACCATTTCACCATTAATGGATGGATTAATATTAAACTGTTGTTTATACTCTCTTGCTCTGTCTGCCTTGTGACCACAGGCATACACTTGTAAATCAGTCAGCTATCCAAGGGTAAGTCAGCAGACAGGTTAACTGACCAGTACACAGACTAAATGGGCAACCTTGGCCTCATTGAAATGGTGTTCTAATCAACTGACCGAAAAGGGCCAACTGGGATGGTAATGAGCTACCAAGTCAGTACATTCTAATGTTACCGAATGACATTCTGTTTGGATTCTACTGCTGTTCTTAGATATTATGTCTCTCCTTCCTGGGACAGACTCTTATCTTATTGGTTAGTATTCAATAAAGATCACCTCAGTAGACTCAGTAGACAGATACTCTCAGTAGAGAGTAAAGGCTTTCAACTACCCAGATGATATGATGTTTGAGATGGAAGGGAGTTTTATCTTTGGTTATAATTCCATTCAGCAAACACACACACACTCTCTCTCTCTCTCTCTCTCTCTCTCTCTCTCTCTCTCTCTCTCTCTCTCTCTCTCTGTGTTTGTGTGTGTGTATGTGTATGTAAGATTGAATGCCCAGCACCCAGCACATGAGAGCCTGGCACCGTAGGCATGCAATAAAAGTTAGTATTAATTTCCCTGTTTGTCTAAAACAGCCCTGCTCTCAAAGAATTTACATTCAACCAGGAGTTAAATGCACCATATATGCGGTGTAGAATGTAGGCTCCTTGAAGCAGGAACTGTTCCTTTTTTGTCTTGGTATCAACAGTCTAGCACATTGCCTAGCACATAGTAATAGCTTAATTGTTTTGTTTTTTTTTTTGATTGATTAGTGAGAAGATTAGGGTTGATTGGATTTTAGAAATGATCCCAAACTGGCCTGCTGCTGCAAAAGGCTCTGTAACCAGAATTCTTCTAATAATATTATGTCGCTAAGAATCAGAAGTATTAAAATTATGATTAACCTAAAGGACAATGAAAAAGACACATAGTAGGCATAATGAGGATCAGCTCTACAGCTTTGACATCTGGGACTCTTAGGACAGTATGGAGAAGAAGGGTTAAAGATGGAGGAAATAATCAGTCCAACAGAATTATGCTTGGTTGAGGACACCAGGAATAGAGTTGAAGGAAGCATGTAGAGCCAAAATATGTTCTTCCTGTCAGTGAGTCAATAAACATTTATTAAGATATTACTATGTGCTAAGAAATTACCACAATTAATAAGGATTAGAAAAGCCTCTCTGTAAGAAAGTGAGATTTTTGGTGGAGACTTGGAGGAAGCCAGAGAAGCCTGGAGGTGGAGATGAGAAAGGAAGGTATTCCATGCTTGGGAGACAGCCAATGAAAATGCCTAATAGCCCTCACCTAATAGCTCTCAGGAAAAGGCTTCTAGAAACCTTAGACAAGGTTTATAACAATGTCCCATTCCCTCCCCTAGAGGATTTGTAAGGTTTGGGAGGATGCAGTTCCAAGACTAACTTACCTTCAGTGATAGCCTTAGGTATTTCAAAGTCGAGGAAAAGACCCTGTGTCTCCTAAAATTCCCTTCCCATCTGCCAGAGATTTTTTTTTAAATGGAAAAATCAGGCCTTTTCATTCTATAGAGATAAAAGGCTTAAAAATGCAAATAGATGGTATGCTTATCAAATTTGCAGATGAAACAAAGCCTGGAGGGATAGCAAAGGCTTGGGAAGACCAAGTTCAGATTCAAAAAGATTTTGACAGGCTAGAACACTAGGCTGAATCTAATCAGATGGAATTCAATAGGAATAAGTGTGAAGCCTTATAATTAGGTTCAAAAAAATCTACTTCACAAGTATAAGATGGGAAGGTTGAGTATAGTTAGATGACTATTTTTGTCTGAAAAAGATTGGAGGGCTGATTCCAGTGATTGCCAGCTCCCTACAAGTCAAGGATGAAATGTGTCAGCCAAGAAAGCCAATGTCAGTTTAGGCTGCATTGAGAAACGTAGCACCCAAGAATAAGGTGATGGCCTCATCAGATCACATCCAGAATATTTTATTCAATTCTGGGTGCTACATTTTAGGAAGGATTTTAATAGCTCAGAGGATGATCAGGATAACAAGATGGCTTCAAGATCACATCTTCTGAGTATCGATTGAAAAGAAACTAGGAATGTTTAACCTCGAGAAATAGACATTATAGCTATGTTCAAGTATTATGGAATCGAGGCTGTTATGTAGAAGAGAGACCAGATTTATCCCCTTTGTCCACAGAGGGCAGAACCAGGAGCTAGTAGAAGCTACAAAGAGGCAATGTTGGGGAAGACTTCCTAATAATTAGAGCTATCCAAAATGAGGATGGAGATGCTGCCTTAGGAGGTAGTGAGTACTCTTTCACTGGATGACTACTTTTCAGGCTTGTTCTAAAAGACACTCTTATTCAGGTATGGGTTGAACTGGATGGCTACTGATGTCCCATCCAACTCTTGAGATTCTGTTATTTAAGATATACAAATGTATGTGACCAGCAAAAAGAGATAAGCTAGGCTTGTGGCTGATGTGATCAACAACAGACGGTGGTTGGTTGATCTCAAATACTAAAAGAACAAGAAGTAACCCCCATTCACATTGGGGTCTTTCCTCTGCCTTCTGGGGAAGATGTTTGGAAAATATGGCCAAGAATATTATTGCATGAGGTAGCATGAAAGTATTGTGATCTGTGTCACTGGAGGGATTATCCTTACCATTGAAGTAATAACTCTAAGAAAGTCATTAAATATCATAATATTCTCCAGTTACAAAATCCTCTGGGCCCATTTGATTTTTGTGATGATCCCCTGAGCAGGTAGTACATTAGATTGTGAGCTCCTTCAGGGCAGAGATTCTCTTTTGCTTCTTTTTGTATCCCAACCACTTAGCACAATTCCTGTTACATAGGAGGTAGTTAATAAATATTTACTGACTGACCAATGCAAATAGTGTTATTCTCATTTTATGACTCACTTTATGACTTAGACCTTGAGTATCAGTCCTTCCATAGATTCATGCAGTGAGTGGAAGAGCCAGGACTTCTCTCGGGGTGTTCCAGTTCCATTTCTTTTTACTTTGAAAAAAAAAAGCCTATGAGGGGGATCCCAGTTATGCAAATTGGCACTGGGTTGAGCAAAGCTAAGGCTGGGAAGTGGAAAAGCTATACTCAGTGGGTGTGGCCTAATTTGTACACTTGTAGACTTTCAAGCTCAGCCCAAGGTTTGTTTCTTTCTCCTATCATCTAGCACAAGAGCGTGTCAGGGTTTATGTTTGGAGAATTATTGAGTTTTCTGGTTACTGTTGTCTTAAATTATATCTCTTTTGTACCATATAAAGTAGAAGAAGAAATTAAACATTTCTCTTAATAATGGAAAGGGCACTAGATGGCTCTGGGGATCTGGATTCTAGCTCCAGTTCATCCACTAGCTAGTTGTGTGACTTGGCAAATTATATGACCTCTCCAGACCTGTCAGCCTTATCTGTAAAATGACTGTGTTGGATGAGATCCACCCACTTCTCAGAAACTGGTTTCCTTCAAAACTCAGTTCAAGTGCCATTTTTTATTTGAAGCCCATCCTGATTCCCCCCAGCTACTAGTTTTCCTCCTCCTGTCCCATCCCCACCAATTACCTCGAATAGATTTTGTATGTATTCTGCACATTCTTACATAGATTTGTGGTCTCCCCTCAGGTAAAGTGAGCTCTTTTATGGCAGAGAAATTTTTATTTTTGTCTTTGTATCCTCAGTGCCTAGCATAGTAAATGAATATTTGTTCACTGATGTTAGATTTTCTTGAGAGGCAGTGTGGTATAATGGAGCTCCAGTTTTAGAGTCTGATGAGACCCAAATTCTGTTTCTGACTCCTGCTAGTTTGGTAAACCTGGACAAGTCACATCTCTGAGCTTTGGAATCCTCATCCTCATTGTGTAAAAGGAAAGATAAAACAATACCTTCACTACCTACCTCACAGGGTTCATCATGAGGATCAAAGGACATAACAGGGTCTCTAATACGTTCTGCAAACCTTAAAATGGGCATCTAGGTGGCACAGTGGTTAGAGTTCCTGGCTTGGAGTCAGGAAGGCCTGAGTTCAAATTCAACCTCAGATACTTACTAGCTGTGTGACCTTGGGTAGGTCACTAACCTTTACCTGTGTTTCTTCATCTATAAGATGAGCTAGAGAAGGAAATGGGAAACCACTCTCAGAACTTTGCCAGGAAAACCCCAAATGGGGTCATGAAAAGATAGACACAGCTGAACAACAACAAAAATCTTGAAGTGGCGTATATATTTTATTATTGTTACTATTATTATTCTTAGCATGTAATCCCATGCGGCTTTTGTGCAGCTTTTAGTTTTGCATCTACTGTCCACGTGAGCTATAATGGTACCTATGGATTTCTTTTTCAGGGTTGGTCGGAGGCCAGTGCTGCTCTTTTCCATCATATTCATTCTGATCTTTGGACTGACTGTGGCACTTTCAGTGAATGTGACAATGTTCAGCACACTCAGGTTTTTTGAAGGATTTTGCCTGGCTGGAATAATACTTACCTTGTATGCACTGAGTAAGTATCAACCTTCTGAACCTGTACTGAAAATCAAATGAGATATGCTGAGGAAGTAGTCTGGGCAAAAGGGTTTTGTGAGCAATGAGCGTGTGTGCTCTTGTCTTAGAAAGGAGCTGCTTTGGGAGGTCCAAATGGATTATCTTGCCTGTAACTATGGATTAGTGAGGAACTTGTGGCCTCCAGGCCACATGTGGTCCTCTAGGGTCCTCAAGTACGGCTCTTTGACTGAATCCAAACTTGACAGAACAAATCCCCTTAATAAAAGAGTTTGTTCTGTAAAACTTGGACTCAGTCAAAAGGCTCCACGCAAGGACCTAGAAGACCACATGTGGCCTCAAGGCCACAGGTTCCGTACCCCTGGTTAAGTCTTCTAATAGCTGTTTCTTCGACTGTTACAGAGGCCTCAGAAAATAAAACAAATGGGATGCATTCTCTGCCAGATTTAGGGTGGCCCATGTAACCAAAACACACTGGGTTTGGGGTTGCAGACTGAATTTCCCTTACTGTCTTTGTGCACAGTATTAAAATCATTGGATAACTGTACGCTTCTGGACTTGGGTTGTTAGAAATCATGTGCAGTACTGTAAGGTCACGTGGTTGGGACTTCACTTTTGGTTTATTTTTGACAGCTCTCCTCATTGAGGCTACCTAATATTCTGCGTTTCCATTTCCTTGTGTGTCCATGTGAGTTTCTGGAATTGTTTGGAGATGAGTTATAGGCTGTGACACAATGAAGAATTAGAAGATAGAATGACACATTTGATTACTTCTTGGGCTTTTCTTCCATGTGGTTTTTTTTCCCCAAAAAGTTTCCTCACTGCTCTAAATGTTTATTGATTGTAATTACTTTTGTTGCAAGTATAGATCAGAATTCCCCCAAAATCTCATTCATCTACAACTTACTCTTGCTCGCTTGCTCGATAATTTTGCCTAAGATGTGTGTGTGGCATGGGGGGGGAGGTTCTCTGAGAAGCAAATACCAAATGAAAGTTTATTTAAACTGTTCCTCAGAGAGACAGAAGAAGAGTAGAGCCATCTTCAGGCCTTCACTCCAAAAGTTGTGGGGAAAGTAGGTTATCACGTCAGAATCAGGTCAGAGAAAAGAGAATTGTATGACATGACATTTGGAGGGGAAAATAATAATGTATACTTTAATGAGCCCAGTCCAGAATAACAACAAATTCTCCTAATGATGACCATGAGACATCAAAAATCACTAAGCTGTAGTCATTAGACTCTGTTTAAGAAGGAAGGGAAAGTGTGCAATCCATGTTAGGAAGCTTTCCAGTCAATGGTTTATGAGTCTATCAAAAATTGTTTATTCTTTTTTAAAGTTTTGGTACCTGAAGAGATGAACTTTGTTATAGAATTTTCACATCTGTTATTGTAGAGGCAGCTGGGTGGTATTGTGCTGGACTTCAAGTCAGGAAAACTCAAGTTTGACTCTGGCCTCAGACACTTACTATTTCATCTTGGGCAAGTCATTTCACTTATGTGTGCCTAAGTATTTTCATCTGCAAAATGAAGATAAGAATAGTACCTACTTCCCAGTGCTGTCCTGGTTAAAATGAGATAATATATGTAAATAGTGCTTTGTGAAGCTTAAAGGGCTATATAAATGTTATTGATTACTGTCATTTTGTATCATGGAGGTATCAAAGAACAGGTGGTATTTGATTTATCCTTCAATTATTATCTCCTATCTATCTTTCTATTTGTAAGTATGTCAGAGACCATATGGCAGTCCTATTTCTGTAAATACATGGCAGCCCTCTGACATTCCCTCTCAGGCAGGGCAGCCAAACTTAATTTGTTCAAGAAGTCACACATGTTCTTTCTGGGATATTCCACCTCCCTCTTCACAGACCCCAAGTAAAAACTAGCAAAAGCGTGGTGAATTCTATTTTGTCCAGATATTGTCAAGACAGAAAGAAGGATGGCATTTTTTCTTTGCTCATCACCTGAGGGATAGTTGACTAGAGAAGATTAGAGCTCTGTATGAATACCATTACAAGGACTATTACATAAAAATTTCAGTATGACAAAAGATTTCCAACCACCCCGACCCCCTACCCTCCAGCCAATGATTTTGAGAACTACAGTGTTTGATGCAACCAAATTCTAATAAAACAAAAGAGTCTGGCTTATCCCTTGGTGTTTATGGGCATATGATTTGACCACTAGACATGGTGGGTAGATGGGAGAGGAAAGGAAATGAAGTTATGGGACAGTGTGTCAAGGCAGAATATAGGGTAGAACTTGTAGCAGAATAAATAGCCATTTAGAAAGAGAGGTTGACAGTAGTTATTGTGTTAGTAGGACTTGAGGGAGGCCTTTCTTACTAGAGCACAGCTTACAGTTTCTGGAAGGTAGGATGTATTTGATTTGTCTTTTGGAAAAGAGGAATATTGCCTGGGTTCTTATTTATCATTTAAGAATTGTTTTTCTTTTTGCTTAAGGAAAATTGTATTCAATGCCTATTTCAAAGGATTGAAATCTTACTTAAAGATCTAGGAAAGTTTAAAAACAAATTTTTTTAGGTATTTTTTTTCTTTTAACAATCAATCTAACTCAGATTTTTATTTTCAACTGAAGGGTTCTTATCTCACTTAATGTATCTATTGGAAAGTCCCTGTGCTTTCTCAGAACAGAGTTAGGTTTTATTTTTATTTTACTCTTACAGGTATGCCACTATGACTAAGGCAAATGCAAGTAGGCCTAGGGTTAGTGTGTTTTCATCAAATTATCCTCCTTTTCCTTCCCTTCTCACAAACGTGGACCCACTTCTTTTTTTATCTGTGACCCCATTGTTCCTTTTTATCTAGCCCCTGGTAAGATACAGGGCAGGCCTTTCATGGTGGGCCTTCCATGAGCAAGTGGAAATAGAGGAAGGAAAGAACTCACCACACTAGACACTAAAGAGGGGGAAAAAAGTTCCAATAAGACATAAGTCTTACTCCCAATGAAACTTACATTCTCCTCTCTCCTCCCCTTGCTTCTCACATCCTTGGACCACATTGCTGCGTAGAATGGGGATTCCTTCTTTTCTTATCCAAGGGAAGAGGAAGAAGAAAGGAGAGGGCAAACCCCCAATAGCCACCCACCCCCACCCCCACCTTGACTATTTCCCTATTACCTGTAGCACTGATCTCATAGGAAACACCCTTAGCCCTGGCTCCAGTTCCTGATTACCATCAACTCACCATGCATGCCCTGTCTTCATCCCTTCCTGTCCCATCTGCCATAAAGAAACCCTCTGGAGATTCATGAGTCTGAATATTCCTCTGAAATGTAGATTGCATATTTCTTTGATCCCACCATTATGTTTCCCTATAAGGTACAAATGAGAGAAAAAAAAGAGAGGGAGGACATAGAAAGGAAATTTTTGTAGCTCTGTTTTCCATTGTTCCTTGGATTTCTCGCAGTAAAATCCCATAGGAGGTTCCCAAAGGGTTGTACGCTCGCTTCAAAGGATGAGAGAAGCTGATGTGATGTTTTCTTTGAGAGCGGACCAGAAAGGAAGTGGTGTTCAGAAGCAGTATCTGTCAGTAGAAAGGGTAGGAGGCATGCAAATCCTTGGGGTCCGTAAAGGGAGATGTCTAGATGGAGAATTTACACCACCTGGAGACCTCGGGGCTAGGTGCTTGGCCCTATGCAAATGAACATTTTTATCAGTGATTTAGATAAAAGCTTAGATGGAATGTTAATCACATTTGAAGATAGCCACCGAGCTCGGAGGGATAGCCAACATAACCAGATAACAGGATCTATATGCAAAAAGATTTCAACTGGATAAAAAGTTAGGCTAAATCTAAAGATGGAACTTAATGGGAATAAATGTTAATCTTACACTTAGGTTCAAAAGGCCAACTTCTTGTTGTTGTTGCTGTTTGACAAATGCCACTGGAGAAGGGTCCATGATTACCAGTAACATCAAAGAGGCCTTCATGCCCTTTTTATTTAGTTATGTTGAAGCCAGCAGTGCAATAAACAAGCTAAAACTACTTTACGTTGACTCATTTTCAGTAACTGACATTTACAGGAATATACTAGAAATGGCACTGAAAAGTTTAAGAAAAGAGTTACGGTGAACTTGTATGCACATCATACGGAAAAGTAACATTTTAAATAAAAAAAAACTTTCTGGAACTGTTATGCCAGCATCACAGAACAGCGCTAAAACTGTATGTGTCAAATCCTACATCATTGGTTTTGTGTCTTTTTTCTCCAAACAATTGTAAAAGATATAAATGCTGTACAAATGTATCTTTACAATTTAAAAGCAAGATAATGCCCAGTGTGAGAAATGTTCTCTGAGTAAATTATAAATTCTATATAAGGCCTGCCATATAGCCTCTATATTTTTGTTTATGTTTTAGAATAGTTTTTATGTCCTTTTTCGGGCCCTTATTAAAAAGGTTTTTTTTTTGTAGTGTCTCCCTGACCCCATCCTGCTTTTAAAAATATTCTTTCCCCAAAAGTGAAAATTTTAAATTGGTCTACAGTTTTCAGTACTAGAATGATACTAATTCGATAACTGCAGTCTTCCTTACCACAGAGGAAATGGTAAATAACCCACAACCTGATACTGGGTTTGTTGGGAGGCTGCCTCCTCTCCACGTTAAGGGGGAAAAACAAGTGAAATCAGTTTTGCAGTTTGAAACAGCTAAGACTTAAAGTTTTAAAACTATAGCACCATGAAATTTCAGTTGTTTGTGTTGACTATGCCATAAGTCAAATACAAAGTCAACAGATTCTTTCTGGATAAAAGAGTAAATTTTGTTAGCTTAGGAGAGATCCCTGCCCTTCAAAAGGCCAACTTTACAAATACAAAATAGGAGAGACATGACCAGTCAGCATTTTACTTGGGAAAATAAAAAAGATCTGAGGTTGTTTTTTAAAAACAACAACAAAAACAAAAACACTATGTTAATGTAAGTCAGCAGTGCACTGTGGTAGCCCCAAAAGCTAACTTAATCTTATATTGCATTTAGAGA